ACCACACACACCAACAAACACGCTAACACCTGCCAACCACACGCAACAACACGCCAACAAACACACTAACACATGCAAACAAACACACCAACAAACAGGCTAACACATGCCAACCACAAGCTAACACACGCCAACCACACGCAAACACGGCAACAAACACGCTAACACACACCAATCACATGCTGACAACACACCTACCACACGCCAATCATACACCTACCACACACCAACAACACGCAAACATCATGCCTACCACATGCCAATCACACGCCTACCACATGCCAACAAACATGTTAACACGCAACATCACACCAACAAACAAGCTAACACATGCCAACCACACGCTGACAACACACCAACAACACGCTAACACACGCCAACCACATGCTAGGGCTGTGCAATTAATTGAAATACGGTTTTGATTTTGGTTCCTACGATTATGAAAATGCAATAATCAAGATAAAACGATTATTATGCACCATTTCACCCCTTTCCAGCTGTGCGCTTTCACTCCATCATTAAAGCCCAAACTTCACGTGCAAATAGTTATGTAACAACTTTTGCAAAATGGGACGTGCTTGATTGATTAAAGTTTATTCGATTTATATATGTTAAAAGCCCGAAAGAAAACTTGCGCTAATTCAGAGTATTTCTGTGGTGCGCGCGGAGACGGAACAGATGCCGACGAGTAAAAAGTCAACTTTTAGTTTTAGGTGCGTGTCTAAACGGTCAAATACACGCAAACATATGTCAAAATGTGGCGCTTAATGATTATGCACGTAAACCCTCGTCGTTCATGTCTTCAGTAAATGTAAACAGTTGAGAATGAAAATACGTCTTTAACAGTATATTGGATCCGTGCCGCTCTTAAAGTGACAGCAGGCTAAACATTCCTGCAAACTTTGCTTACTATTAATCAAACAACAAAACTCACTGCTCTGGACTGATGGATATTTGTAGCATCAATAATAAACAAAGCACGTTTCATTCTTACAGTAAAATATGTCCTTTGCTTTTTTTGTTTTTATTGTATTACTGACTTTAATTATTTTTCAATATTTTGTTTAACTCATACAAGTTTTCAAGTATTGAGAATTGTGGAATTTTGCTGGTGTCTAAAATGATGTCAAAGGAACCTTGTTTAAAGAAAATCTATATTTGATATATCGCTATCTTTAAATAAATTACTCATATAAAGTTTTGGTCATATGGTACACTTACAATTACAATATTGACCAAAATATTCGTGATTATGATTTTTGCCACAATCGAGCAGCCCTACCACATGCCAACAACACGCTTATATAATATTTATATTTAAGATCAACAAACAAACTCGTAATAGTGGACAGCAGGACGAGTCCCTGATCAGCCAATCAGAAGACAGTGCTGGGTTGAGGAACGCGTGTGTGCATTATTTAGTGAGCAGAACAATCATGAACACACTGCAAGTGTCATTATCAGTGTGTTAAAGCGTTTTCTCATGTGTGTGTGTGTGTGTGTGTGTGTGTGTGTGTGTGTGCAGATGGTGCTGATGTTGTTGGACGGTGAGGATCGCACACAGCTCTCACAGATCTTCCAGAAGCTTCATGCAGTGCAGACTCAAGCTTTCTCACAAAATGACGTCACAAACCTGGCCAACAAATACCTGTGATGCTCCTTCAGCCTTCCCATGATTCCACACTCA